ACATGTTCAGACTTTATTTCACGGTGATTGACAGACAGACTGGAGGTGTTAGTAGTGTGACGTACGGGGGCTCCCTTCAGCCTGTGGGCCTGACATCCCAGCCCAGCTGTGGGAGTTGGGGTGCCACACCCCAGGACTAGGTGCAGGAGGGGCAGGCTGGTTGGGATGACGCGATGTTGCAATTTAAGGCGTTTCTGGCTTCGCAGCCGTCTCTGCACCCACTCCTGGGCCTCAGTCAGACACCCGGCCGGCCCCCGTCCTTCTCGAACGAGGACCCCCCACTCCCACCAGGACGGGAGAGGGTTTGCCGTGTGGTGTCCTCAGCTGCCCTCGGGCACGATGAGCCCCCTCCCCAGACGTCAAGTAAACTCAATGCACTGAGAACTCTGGTTGGTGGTCAGGCATGGACGCCGGCTGCCCAGGCGAGCAGGCAACGGACACCAACACACCACACTGGCCCACTCCCTCTCAGGGTTCCTCCCGGGGCCCCGAGGTGTCGGGATGGGACACAGCCACGTCCCTGGTGGGCAGGGCCAGGGAGGTGAGGGCCCCCGACAGTCCTGGGCCTGGCCTCTGCCTCCAGCACCTGGGGCTGGCAGACACAGCGAGAGCAGGGATGCCGGTGGCCCCAGCAGGAACGTCATCTCTAAGTCACAGTATTGGCCCAGGAGGCCCAGGAGGGGCCGCCAGGCTCGAGGCCAGTCTGAGGCAGGCCGGCCCCTCCCAGTGGGACGAGGTCCAGCTCAGGGGAGGCCTGGGAAGGCCCCCTGCATCCGGCAGCAGCTCCCGGCTCTGGGGACCCAGACTGGCAGGGTGGGGCTCAATGTGTTGGGGGGGCTGCTGACAGGCAGGGAAGCCCAGCGGGAGGGGCGGGGACATGGTGGCCCGGTGGAGGGTGTGTCCTGAGGCTGCTGTCCGAGCCACGCCCTCCCTGTGGCCACGTCCGCCCCGAGAGCCCCGCGGCCCCGAGTTTGCCTCTGCAGCTCGCCTGCCTGGACAGGAGGGAGGCCAGGCCCAGAGTCCCTCCGGCCAAAACACAGGCAAGAAAATCATATCAAAAAAGCAACAAGTTTACAAAAATATAAAATAATTACAGCAGGGTGCGGGGCGGGCCACGGCGGGCTCACGGGGCGGGACAGGGCCGGAGCTCGGGCCTGGTGACTGCGTCTTCTAGCAGGTGCAGCGGCCGCCGTCCCACCACCACGTCCCGCAGGCAGCCCACGAAGCCCGTGCCATAGGCCTTGGGCAGGGCGGGGCCCACGGGCGGTCTCTCCAGGCCTCCTGCAGAGCAAGCACAGGCGGCCACCGCTGGGACTCCAGACAGCAGGCTGGGACGCGGGGGGCAAGGGACCCACCAGCACCGATGACCAGGTGAGTGACCGGGGGGACCTGGTGACCAGCGAGACCTTCTGGCCTCCTGGACCCACACCACCCTGGGGTCTGTCCCTCAGATCCTGAGACCCCCCCCCGACCTCCCCACTCACTCACCCAGCCACAGGGCTCCGTCTGTGTCCAGCTGCGTGGCGCCCAGCGGGGAGGAGCCGGTCACCGGGGCCTCATTGCCCACCTGCAGGGAGCCTTCCCTCTGTTCCCTGGGGTGAGGGGGGGAGCCATCAGGTGACTCGAGGCCCACCCTGCCGCCTCCAGGTCCTGAGCCCCATCACATCACCTCCAGGGGCCAGGACAAGGTGGCACTGACCCCAGGAGAGGGCCTGGGGGTCGGGTCAGGCCGTGTGAGCCAGGCTGTGCTGGAAGGGACACCAGGCTCAGACCAGGGGAACACGTCCCAGCAGCAAGGACCCCATCCAGGTCAGGTTCCCCAAGCACACTGCGGGTCCCCCCGTCCCTCCCCCTCACCAGCTCCGACTGCGGGTCCCCCGTCCCTCCCCCTCACCAGCTCCGACTGCGGGTCCCCCGTCCCTCCCCCTCACCAGCTCCGACTGCGGGTCCCCCGTCCCTCCCCCTCACCAGCTCCGACTGCGGGTCCCCCGTCCCTCCCCCTCACCAGCTCCGACTGCGGGTCCCCCGTCCCTCCCCCTCACCAGCTCCGACTGCGGGTCCCCCGTCCCTCCCCCTCACCAGCTCCGACTGCGGGTCCCCCGTCCTTCCCCCTCACCAGCTCTGACTGCGGGTCCCCGTCCCTCCCC